TATGAGTACTTTAATTATAATTAATTACATTGATAATTTTATCTTTAATTTATTTGCTTGCTAACTTGTCTAATTAAAGAAATTAAAGTAAAACTATTAAAACATAATTTATTTATTTTTAAATATTTTAAAAATAAAAACTAATTTAAAACTTCATTTGAACTGATGAAAATAATTTTTAAATTTAATTTAATTATAATTCAATTTTAATAATTTATATAGAACTTCAAGTAGAATTTATCAGTAGATATTTAAACAAGATATTTATTGATAAGCTACAAGTAAACCAAATAAAAGAATACATTCTACTCAAAATTTACAATATATGTTATTCATATTAGTCATTCTTATATGTGATGTGAAACTTATTCACTCACATTTCCTATTTTAATAAATTTTCTTCAAAAATGAGTCCTTTTAAATAAATTCACTCACAATTCTTATATGACTTGACAAAACAAAAGAGACTTTTATGCTCATTTATAATTTACTATAGGGCCAAATTGTTATAGAAACTTATTTTTAGGTTAGATAATTTTTTAAGTCTATTAAATTGTCTTAAACATAATTTTAAGGCATTCCATTCTTAGAAAAAAGAATTGGATGGATTGGTTTAAGGCTCTAAAAATAGTTTTTTGGAACATAAAACCTTTTTTTTTTTTTTCTAAACTATCTATTTGGGTTTTTAAGAGTTTTGGGCCTTTTTTTAGTTCTAAAATTCTTTTACTAGTCTAGGCATACAATTATTTACCGAAAAATAAAATTTCACCAAGTAGGTATAAATTTTTTTTTATTGGTCAAACAATAAAGTGTTACACCATATCCCCTTTCTCTAAAATAGTTTTTAGAAAAACTCGTACAAAATTAATCATATGATTAAGGATTTCATCAATATCAACTAATATGTATTGTATTAAGAATATAAAGGTATAATGAATATTTTTCTAATAAAATATTTTATAGTTATTTAAAATCAATCCCACTGATATTAATAATTTTATTATTAATTATAATATACTATGATAAGTAATAATTAATTACAATAATTTCTATTAATAAAACTAATCTCTCCCCTTAATTACTAACACAAATAATTTGGTGCATCAAATTATAGACGTGAATAGACAAGGCAAAATCAGGTTAGCACAGACTTTTTTTTTTGTTTTTCCTTTTTGAAGGAAAGAAGGAAGTTAAAGAAAGAAAACATTATAATAAAATTTTGAATGAAATATATAAGTAAGATTTTCCGTGTAAATATTATTATTGTACATAAGAATGTAGGATAAGGATATACACATAAATTCCACACTCAGCAACATTACTTTATATAATCATAGAAAATTCAGCCATTCTTTTGCGTCATCTATTCATGTAAATGGTAGCAACCATTAACATACACTTACAAGTACATCAAGGCATTTAGAATTGGTTTTACACGTATGGATTTGACTCTCATAAAATTAAAAATTATACTCTTAAAAGTAAAGCATAAAATTATAATTATTGTTTAAAAATCATATATATGTGTGTGTGCATTTTATTACGATTTAAATTAATGATTATAACTTTATTTTATTTATTATTATTATTTTTCTTCACTTTAAAACACTAATTCTCAAATTGACAATATTGCAGTATACTATTATACACAAAGCGAACGTGGGTCGAACCAAATCCCAATATATAGAAACATGGGTTGGGTTCTATATGCAGACTGGTGGAATTTATTTTCGTAGCACTTGCCGTTTAATAGGCCCATTAACATTGGCCCATTAACCCACACCAAGAAATCTTTCTTTTCTATTTTATTTGTTTTAATATTCTCAAGCGAATACTTTTTTTTGGTGGAAAGTGAATAGTTAGTGTATATTATAGTTGCTCCATGCATAATAGTTCATATAAACTTAAAAAAGTAAATAGGCAGATTAAAATTTAACTTTAAAATTAATAGCACCATTTATGTAAAAACAAAGCAAAACATATTTTTATACAAAACAAAATGTTTAGTACACGAATTAACTATTTTTCATATTATCAAGTATTTATAATAATATATACATATTTTTAAATTTAAATGAATTTAAAATTATAAAAATGTATAATTAATTTAAATAAATTAATATCAAAAGTAGTTTAAATGTGTAAAAAAAAATTTAGAAATTTTTTTTGAGAATATAAGTAATGATATTTGAGATATCAACGAATGGTTGATTTAAGTGATATATACTTGATTTTCTTTAAAAAAATTATGTCTCAAGTTTAAACCTAGTGTATGTAAAAGCATATTATCAAGAGTTTTAATTTTTTTTTAAATTATGTCTCAAGTAAATTATGTTGCGAATGGTTTTGAGTTTAGTAGTATAATTTTTTTAAAGGATACTTGTAATTTAAAAATAAATTATAAATATTTTATTCATCTTAATCTCTTGTGAGAAAATCCAGACTTCTTTATTCAAATATTATTCAAACTAAACAAAGACATTAATCTCACAATATATCAAAATGGGTTTCTCAAAATCTCTATGTAAAGAAAACGGTCTGAGAAAATATGGGAAAAAGAAGAAGGGACTACAAGCCTCTTAATTATTTTTTCAAAGATGATAAATTTTTAATCCCTAAAATATCTTCTCTTCATACTCTCATTTTGGATGAAATCATTTTTTTTCTTTCTCAAACCTAGTATTAAACCTGTTGATTGATATAAACCAACCTTTTGCATTTCCAATAATTAATAACAAATAGAGTTTTACTTCTTGAAAATAATTTTTCTCAAGAAAATTATCAACCATAAGCACATGTTGTCAAAGAACCTCTCAATTTTTTTAATAAAATTTTTTCAGTGAAATAAATTCAATAATTCTTAGAAATTGTAAATTATATTAGAGAAATTTCATCTCAAATGTAGCTAAATATGTAAGTCAGTGTCAAAACTCTTCAAGAACAATGTTTCACCATAGAGAGATGAATAAACCATTATTGTTCAACAAGTCAAAAAGGTTGCATAGAATCCTCTTTATCTTAAAATCCTTGATGCAAGGGTAAAAATCTTACAAATAGATGCCAATTATTATTACTAAGGAGCTATTCTTTTAGAAGAAGTTGAAGGGGAAAAAACATTCTGTGAGCATGCATGTGTACAATTCAAAGATGTTGTCCTCAAATATACTGGCTCTTTGGTCAAAGACATAATTTTCTAGATATAACTCTAGTGTGAAACACACCAGGAAGATCAGAATTTGATTTCTAATTTACTCTCTCGACCAAAGTAATTCATTCAGGTTATTTTTACCTTTATTCTTTTCTTCTCATTTTCATGGCACCACCTCATAAAACTTTGCCTCCACAAAAAAAAAAAAAAATTCTTCTTAGGAGTTAATCATCACTTTAACTCAACATAGCTCAAAAAATTTGCTTAGAGATCACATTTCTGACTACTTGCACAATATCAACAATTATCGATATGTTCTATGCAAGTCCCCAAAAACTTGTAACCATGATCATGCTAGTTTTTCAACTACTCTGAACATTGTGATTAGTCTCACTAAACTGTTTCGTGAATTTCGAACTCCTCATAATTGATAGTCTAGAATACCTGTGAGACATTTGGATTGATAATCTTACGTTTTGATCAATGGATACTTACTCGGATAGTTCAGAGAATCCAAATTTCTCCCCTAGCCATGAATCCATTGTCAAACAATAAAAGGAGTTTCCTTCTTTCTTACTTGATCAGTCACAAAAAGCATCCCAGAATAATTTTGTAATGCATTTTGTGTACCTTAAAAGTTACTTTGTCAAAATACTTTTCTTTATTAGTGTATGTAATAATGAAGTAGTTTGAGTATGAAATCAAACCAAAATTAATATTTTTATGTTTGTATAACCATGGATTTCTTCTAAGTTTTTTCTTTTTGAAAACTTTACTTATGATATTTATAATTTAGTTGTTGATTAGAAATAAGTATGCTCTACAGTTACCTCTCTCAAAAGACCATGTTCATTAGAAAACTTCTGATCAAATATTTAAGTAAACACAATCCTTACTGTGATAGGGATAGTATTCAGCATGATTCTAAAAAGAATGCACAGTATACTTATAAAGTATTAAAAACCTAATATCTTGAATTCTATATTTGTAACATGTAAGGCTCTCGATCAAACTTAGTATCAGATACAAGAGCTCTTAAAAAAATAAAAGAAAAGAAAACATGGTATAAATATCATAAGTATACTGTTGTTATGTGAATCAGGATGAATTCACTAAGATAGGTTAATATAATTTACTCTATTATGCTACTGGTATAAAGTTTTAAGCTATCAGCCTCTGTTTCCTTTCATTTTCCAGTGTTTGCATGAGTTTCTATAATACTTCCACTTGAATTGAGAAAGATTCTGATCATCTAATGACCTATTATAAGTAAAGGTTGAACTCTTCACGTGCAGAAAAAGATTGCGAAGGGCCCCTTTCGTTTAGCTTTCTAACTCCATTTCATCTTAAAAATTAAATTTATTGGAGTTAAAAACTAAATCAATGTTTTATTTTGCACTTATTATTTTTTATTTCTGAACAAATGTTTGAAGACAACTATCAGCAACTCGAAGAGAATTTCCCTCTTTCAAAGTAAGATCCACTTATATTTTTATCCTTTATTACTTATTTTTCTTTTTCTTTCAAATCATACATATCATGTAAACATGAGGTAATTCTGTTTCAGGGCATCATAATGGAATTAACTTTCTTAGCGTAAATTTTTGTTTCATATACAAAATTTAAGGCTAAAGTATTACTTAAAAAATTAAACAAATATCAGTTGACCCATTTTCACTAGTACATATTTTTTCTTCTGGGAAACAGTATGATTAATGTTTGATTATAAACTAATTTTACGAATTCCAGTTGTGGGTAAATATCATAATTCAGAAGGTACCCAGATCAGAGCCACCAAGTATGCAGAAAAAAAAATGAAAGCATAGCTTCATATATATATATATAACCAGAACATCACCTTTTGATAAAAAAAAAAAAAAACAATAACAAATATACATACAAAAAAAAGTCAAATCTCATTTCATGAAAATTCCTGAGAAGTAACCACTAACTTACAGTAATTACATTACAAACAAAGATTCATCACATGTCATGTCATGCAATAAGAACCTCACATCACAAATTCACAACTCTTCTCACCTGCTAAGGAGAGGGAACCAACGTTCTTGAAAAGAGGATTGGTAAGAAACCATGAAGAGAAGAAGAACAAGAACCAAGCCAACACCCCAAGGAGTTCCACCAGCTCTATGCAGTGACTCTCTCTCTGGCAAAGGAATGAGTGAAGACAAGACCCCTCCATCGCCATAGTTAGAAAGAAAGTGAACAACTAGAAGAAGCAACAAAGGCGAAACCATTAGCACCAACTTCACTTGGTCCATTAAACTCTCCATTATTGGCTCATAGTTTAAGTACCATGAGAAACCAAGGAACATCAACAAAGTAAGCAAGAAGAAACACAGGTGCAAAGGGAGTGCAGGCTGAGAGTTCTGAGAAGTGTATGAGGCCATTTTTACTTCACAATCTTTAAACAATTGAGGCTGAACCTGAAACCGTAGTTGTTGCTGTGGATTGTTTGTGGGAGAAAATTGTGCCACAAAGAAGGTTTTATATAGAGTTAATAATGTACTAACTGTTGTGTTTAATATAAGTAAAGTCTCGTGCTTCTCTTTTTCTTTCTTGACTTTTCTAGAGTTTTAGTCTTTAGTTTTTCTTGCATATGAAAAAAGTTACTTTAAATTTCAAGTAAACTTATTTATAATTATTAAATTATAATATAGTTAATTAAAAAACTGTTACATGTTATTTTAAAAAAACTATGTTAACAAGAGAAAATAAACAAAAATTGACAAAATTAGAGAAAAAATTAAAATAAAAAATAAAACAAAATCGTCACTACTTGGATCAAGGGTCACTAGTGCTTTTCCAATTTTGTTTATAGCTAAAGGTTCCTGCTTTCTCAAAACCCAACCCGGCCTTTGGCAGAAATATTCTGAGGGTCGGTGAGCATTTTTTATGGTAGTGGTTCATTGATAACAAGCCAACAAATGAGAATCTGCCACGTGCCACCGACCAGGGACCATTAGTGAAATCACTTTAATTTCTTTATATGGGAAAATGACTCACTTTTCTATGAGTAGCAGAAAGGCAAAAGTCTGACTTAGACCAGATTTTTGCTGCTAGGCTTACCTAACATAATTGATGTTTAAATCTATATGGGGATTCTACGTAACCCATGTCAACCAGTTATCAATGAAATTCCATAATATAAAACAAGTTTATAATCGCGATTTGGGTGTGGTGTCAACAACTGGTAATATTTTCATCAGTGTCACTGTCAATTGAACGTTGATACAGTTTCCCTTTGGTTTAATTAACTACAATCAATCAATTAGTGAGGTAATGTAGTTTGTTTTATAGAAGAGTTGGAAAGGGTGGTTAACGAAAGCCATGACCTTTGTTTTGGCTTGTATTAATCACATTTTCATGACATTGGAGGGAAGATAATCTTTCACCCATGAAATAGTACTATTCCATCTTTGAATTTGGCTCGGCAAAAGACAAGTGAGTTCCTCCAAAGAGAGTGGGGTCCCAGAAAGATATATCAGTTCTCAAAAATCTATAGAGCTGCAGGCCACTAGTTATTATTATATTTTCTCTCTATCTATCACTTACACATAAGCATACAAATAATATGGGTGTTCTTGGATGTTGGTGTTTTCCACTATTATTAAAGGGTACTCTGCATGTGGCAGCATAGGGCTTCTTAGTTGGAATCATCTACCTTTTGGCTATGACACGCCGAAGGGTGATTCAATAACTCAAATAAAGAGAGGATGATACAAATTCATGCACAATCTTAAGGTTTAAGTAACTCTTCTCTTGCATACCCTGCATCCACCAGGATTTGTACCACTTCTCTTTCACCATTAAACAACTCAAAAGGAATTTGAGACCCCACTCACTCACATTAATTGATCTTCACAAACAAATGAATATTCTTAACACTGAATTTTATTTTATTTTATTTTTTCTAATTGTGAATAGTTATAATCACGAATAGTCTATTAATATCTCTATATATTTTTAAAGGATAGATCTTCTTACAACAATTATTGTTTTTAAACTTATATTAGTATAAGAATATTTTATTCTATTTTTAAAATATAAACTTTTTAATGAAAATATTTTGAGAGATTTTTCAAATGATAATAATTTTAAGAATTTATTTTCTCTTTTGTCATACTAAATAATTTTTTCTACATCAAATATTTGCTTTTTTAATTTAATATTATTTTAAATTTAAATTTTTTATAAATTATTTTTAATTTAAAATTTATATCTTTATTTATTTTATTTAATATAATAGAATATTTATCAATTTCTATATATAATTTATAAATACAAATTTTTAAATAAAAATATTAAGGAGAATTACTTTTATACTAGATTAAGACTAAACATAAAAGTAATTTGTTCTTACTGTCAGCTACATTATAGTGAACATGTAGAGTTAAGAAATTTATTGCATTGCTAAAAAAATTTCAATTTATAAAATTATGTTTGATTTTATGAATCTGATCAACCAACTTTATTTATGTGAACAATTGCAACAATGTCATGCCTACTTAGAATGTTGGGTTCATTGAGACTAAAAAGTAAAGCATAATTTTGAATTCATTCTTAATGTTAATGAAAGTACTTGATGGAACTTGTAAAGAGCTAGTTTCAATGCTCTTTCTAGAAATAAAGATGAAAATTAGCTTAAAAAAAACTTATGAGTTCATTAACATTTTTGACAATACTTATATTGAACTCATAGTCATGCTTTTGAGATTAAAAATAACTTATAATTTAAATATTAGATATCTTTTATGTTATTCTAACGTGACAGAGGTCATAAATTTTATGATAGAAAATAGAAATTGTTTCAACTATCTACAAGTATGTTAATCTCATTCGTAATATAAAAAAAATGAATGAGAAAAGACTAACAAATCAACATTAGATACGTAAAAGTAATATATGTGCAAATTTTTTTAGCTAAACTGGAGTCTTCATATTGTGATTTTAAAGATTGAGTCTCACTTTCTACAGACTTGAGATTATTTTCTTCAAGTTGATATTATGAGAGTCTCATGTTTGATATTGTAATTTTTTTTTATTTTCTCTTTTCTTCTAAAAAATTAAAATTAAAATATTTTTATGAACTTTCTCAAATAAAAATACTATGAAGATTTTGTTTTCTTGCTTGTCATGCCAAATAATTTTTCTTAAATACAAATTGATTTTTTGGCACAAACTGTAAAAATAAAATCTTTAAAAACTTTCTCAAATAGAAGTAATTTAGCATTTAGTTTTTTTTTATTACCATGTTCAATGATTTTTTATGTCAAATATTTAGTTTTTAATTTAATATCAATTTAAATTTTAAAATTTTCATAATTTATCTTGCAATATAAAATTCTCTTTATTCAATTATATTTAATATTTTTAATATATTAATTTTATTTAATATAATAAAATATTTATCGATGTTTATATACAATTTGAGTACAAATTTATATACAAATTCGTTTTTAAGAATTACCTCAAATGGAGTACTTTGACCTTCTCACTATGATCAAATAGCTTTTTTTATATTAAGCATTTATTTTATAATTCAATACTATTTTTAATTTTTTATAATTTTTAATTTAAATTCTATCTTAAAATATAATATAATTATTATTATTACTAATTATGTTATTTACTATTTTTAATTCATAAATATATTAATTTTTAAAAATTTTATAATGTAATTTACTTAATTATTTAAAAATTTATCTTAACACGAAAAAAATTAATTTTATACTATAGATAAATCTATTCAAGGCCTTAAATTTTTCTAATATTTGTAATCTGTTGTCCTTTGTCACTCATATGTAGTATATACTTAGCAAGACCCATCCACATACACACATATGTGAGTATATATTTAGGAAGAACTTGTTCACACCCATGGACATACACATGCATCCAGTTTTTTCTTAATGAAAATTCTCTCTTTAAAAAAAACAAAAAACAAAAAACAAAAAAACCTTATGAATTTATAGCCCAACTCAGTTGACTAAAGAGTTTTTTTTTAAAAAAAAATTGAAAGAATAGGGAAAATAGAACATTTTTATTTTAAAATTAATAAATTTATATGATATTTATTATATATATAAAGTATTGATACATTATAATAATATTATTTTATATTTAAAATTAAAAAATAATTTTTTAGAATAGATCCCACGATGGTTTAGGGCTGCTTTTGAGATATGATAAACTATCTCATCACTTTTTAATTATTTATTAACATGTGTTTTATTTTAAAAGAAAACGATGTACATTACAATTTTAAAAAATAAAATAAAATAATTCGTACATGGCATGTCTTACATGTTTGGCTTGGGTAAGAGCTGAAACATGAAGACATGTCACATGTCATGCAGTTGATGGTTTTAAAAAATGGCAATAAGTGTTGTTACATGCTAAAATCTTATCAAGAGAATGGTTAAATTTATTAGTTTTTTTTAATACCAAACACAAATTAATTAGCATAGATTTATTTTAATTTAATTTATAATATCAAATTTAAGATTATTTATCTATGATCTAAAAAATACATTAATTTTTTGAAATAAATAAATAAACTATTAATTATCAATCCCACCTTATGTTTTGTGGTAGATGTTTTTCTAAAAAAAATTATAGTTTATTTAAAAATAATAATTATAATAATAATTTGTCATTATATAAAATTAGATAACTAGAAATTAATTTTTTAATTTTTAAATATACTTTAAATTGATAAAAAAATATATATAATTTTCTATTCAAAAAGCTATATTTAACAGATATGTGTATTTTTAACGAGTGATGTTTATAAATTGGTAAAAATTAATTTTTAAGGTAAAAAGACATTCAAATCTATTTACATTCTTTATTTATATTAATAAATAATATTTGATATTTACTTAAATTTATCCAATTAATTAAGTTTAGTCATATTTATAAGAAAGTCATTCAACATGTTGATTATTTAATTAAATTAAGTCATAAAAGTTTTTTATTTTTAATTATTTTGATGTTGTATATTATTTATTTATTTATTTGTCTTTATATCATAGATGTTTAGACTTGTAGTATAAATTTCCAACTTTATTTTTATTCTAGACTTTTAAATTTTATTGAATAGTAAAAAGAAATTAATAAAAAAATTTAAATATTTAAATTTAATTATAAATAAATAAAGTTTAATAATATCATAATAATTTCAATCCACTAGACTTAATTAAAGGAGGTTAGTACGATTGGCAAGAAGCTCAGTATCACTTAAGTAAAGTTTTGAGTTGAATTTTTTTATACAAAAAAATTTTAATAATAAATTCACCCAACACATTTGATGTGATACTTGCTTTAATTACTAATCCCAATAAAAGCATAATCCTGAATCTTCTATTGTCAGCTTTTCTAAAGCTCCATGAATCACCTTTCACATACATACGATACTTTTTCTCGTCACACTTTTTCC